TTAACTCGCAACAAGATGAAAGTATAAACTATTGTCGCAGCAAGCTCGAAGACAGGGCCGCCTAAGACGCGAAAGTTACGCCCATAACTTCCCAATAAATGCATTCCATTTTCTCTTATAATTTGAGTCTACAATTTATCGGTCTGCAAATTTAACAGTTAACAATTCTTGATACGATAGCGCTGAAAAATCTACTCACCGCCAGGAGCAATATCCAATTTATAGAATTGAAAATAATTTCTTCCACAAAAAGATATACTTTGTACTTCGCACTGTCGCTCACGCTCGCGAGAAACGATTGCCCAACAAACTCGAAGTTTAAAGTGCAATCGCCGCTCAGATATGAAAGTATGACTCATTTCGTTTTGCCCACACCATAGATGCATGATCGAAGTAGCCAATTCGTAAATTAGCACATTGACGGCCGCGCCGAAAACATCTCAAAATTTCATAGAATTAAAGTATTTTAATCAATTAAATTAAACTTGCAAAGCAAACTTTGTATGACATCGATTACTATTTCAACATTCTTAGCTCTTGCGAATCTTAATAAAATTAAGAAATTTTCATGGATTAGCATAGAAATTCAATTTTGAATAATATCGCATACGGGTGACGCGGCAACCTCGATTTTTAGGATTTTCACCATGATTTCGGGCTTCTGAACTACTGCGCGACAGTAAGAGAGACGCTCTCGACAATCGATATCGTTCGATCTCTCTGCCTCGCGATCTCGTGATGTCGGGATTCCGAGAGTCATCCTCGGACCTTGAACATTAATTCCTCGCCGTACCAATTTTTTTACAATTACGACGATTAGGATTTTTTCGATCGCAATAATTTCTTAGAAGTAAAAGAAACTTCATATTTATCGCGTGTGTTTATATCTACTTCAATGTTTAAATATTGGTGACAAGAGAATAGAATTCGATCTCGTGCTTCGAAAAGCCCGTTTCGCCCACACAATCTTCTACAGTAAATTCTCTCTAATTGACGCTCAGCTTGGAAACAAAAATGGGCAATGTGGCAAGAGATTGCGGAGAATGTACTGTTTTCTTTTCCTCCTCCATCTTCGCCGCGGCAGAAGGAATTCTTTCACATCTAAAACTTCGCCGATGGTCGCGCGATACGCATATCTCCGAAGGAAAACTCGGGCGAGCCGATCGGCGAAAACGGGAATTCGCATGAATGTCCGCAGTCGCCTAATCACGTACGCCGGCTTACGGCGGCGGTCGTCCTTATGCACGGCTCGGCGTCGCGCGTCGTTTCGCATGCGGGAAGCTCCGCGTATTCATTCAACGACGGCGTTTCGAGATCGGTGTACGCGGCTACTTGTTTGTCTCGTTCGTTGTACCGTTGCCCATAGTATCCTCAATTAAAACGGGCAGCGTAACAGAACCCGATCGCTGTTAACGTCGCATCGCTGCGCGCCATTGCCGCATTTACCGCGCACGATTTTCTTTCGCAGTTCAAGATTCCGTGCGGTCGAAATTGAATCGAAGTTTTCCATAGTATTCCTATGCAATTCCTGCAGCAAAAGAACCGAACTTTCGAATGCTTCAAACTAGAATTGGATAGATCGTTTAGTTCTTTTGTTATCTTGTTCTAAACAAAAGTGTCCCATTCGTGGTAGTTCTCCTCTACAATATCGCGCGAGATTTGACGAAAATTCTCTGATAAACCGCTAAAACACGCTTCTCTTTTTCAGTTAATTTAGTGTTCAAGGTCACATCGACTCTCTTAGGTTATCAGTAGACCACGGATTTTTATGCGTTTAAGAAACAAACGAATAAGTTAAATACAGAATTGTGATGACACTAAAAGAATTTATATTATAATTGTAATTATATTACATGTATATAATATTATATTTGTATTATAATATAATTATGATATTATATTTATATATTATTAATTTGTATTAAATAGTGTTTTAAATTTATTGCAATTATTAAATAAAAAAAGGCATTTTCATCGAAATTATGTTTCTTATAATTAAATGACAATTTTTATTTTCCATAAAGATCCGCAGTGTAGTTGTTAGCGACCACGTTGTAGAAGTATGTAATTAAATAAAATTTTAGGTAAGCGTTTATATGAAATGACGAATAATAATACAAATAATGCAGCATATACAATGTCTTTATTATCACGTCTATGCACTGATATTGTATTTTGGATTATACAGGGTGTCCCAGGTTTTAATGTTCAAACTTTGTCAGTGTATTCTATGGCACAAAGTAAGAAAAAAATGTTATGTAAACATGGGTCGTATAGAGCTTTATTAAGAAGTTATAACAAAAATTCAGAATATGAATAGTAATCAACTTGCTGTTACTGCGAGCATTGGCTTGAATAGATCAGCACATGCCGTGTGTTTATGTAAGCTGTGTTTATTAATACATTTCGAAACGTATTAATAACCGTTGTTGACAATACATGATTGACATCGATCGAAGATTTTTTTTTATTTTTCATTT